TACAATATTAATCATAATAGCCGTTAACATTGTAAAATTAGTTAAAGAGTGTTCGAAGAGATCGGACATAATGGTACATCGTGTAGCATAGCTCTCAGCAAAAGCTGTTATATAAATAATAAATGAATACATTGTGTAATCAAATGCCTCCGACGATCTCTCGCAGTCAAGGCGAGCGTCTAACCATTAAACCACAGAGGCTTTATGTAGGCCTATGGTAAGGTACTTACCGAAAGGGCGTTAACAAGACAAATCTGGAGGTACAATGAACATGACGGTTATTTGACAACATGGTGTCCTATTAATAAATAATTTTTTTATCATATGTTTTGGTGTAAAACATATTGCATTGTTGCCCATGATCGGATAATATATTTTGAGGGAATTTTAAGATAATTTATCGGAGAAATTTTAAGTGCTGCCAAAACACGGTCTTTGATGATTTTAACATAGGCCTACTATTAATAGTATAACGGCCATCTTGATTATTATATATTATATTATGTTTTGTAATCAATATTATGATTTATTCCCCACCAATTCACCGAGAAACTAATCAAATCAAATTTAACCGGTTTAAAAATTTAGTTTTACAATAATTCTATCAGATAATTTCACTGCTTTAAAGGTAAGGTAGTTGTTTTTGAGACCATTTCATTGTTTTGCATTGTTTAAGTCTCAGTTTGGTGCTATCGTATTTTGTGTACTATTTATATAGGCTATTGTATGTGTATGTAATTTTGTGCATGCTCAGAAAAAACAAATTTAATGTAGTTTGATATATGACAATAAATTCAAACTGGAACTCTCACACGTATAATGTATAGGCCTATATGTAGGCTATATCCAGATGGTACGTATAACATTGCTGTAGATTTAGTTTTTACCATAATGATCTTTTAGGATTTTATAAGACGCTTCCCTAGTCTGTGTGTGCAATCCATAGATTCTTATTATATCTCTATGGTGCAATCTTAAAACGAGCTACAACTTGATCAAACTATTATGATATTTTTATGCTTTAGCTTTCTGACCTTATTGCTGAAGCATCTAAGCGGTATTCTACTTGACGACTTGTCAAGATATTATCTTGTCAAGTCGACATAACATCCATATGTCGACATGCCTGTCGTAAAGTAGGACGATTTGCACCTAATATTGTCAGGTATATAAAGTATGAAACAGGCTTCGGTCATGTTCGATCTCCATAACCGCGCTACGTCTGTTGGGAGTCTACTATTTCATTTCGGGTAGCTAGGGGGTACAAATGTATGAGGCGCCAAGTGTAAATTTATTATTTAACACAATAATTTATATGTAATTCATTATTTAACACCCATTATTTATATATAGTGCATTTACGTCTAAAAGATTATATGTAAATAATTGCGTTAACGTTTCATTAATTATATATAATTTGTTTACTGATTACATTATATATAAATAATGAAAGGCTAACTCAACATTATTTATATATAATAAGGTTACTGGCTTCATTATATATAAATAAGGAAGGGGAAACACATCATTATATATAAATAATGATAAATAAGTTACAATTATTTATATGTAATAAGTTCACTGATTCCATTATATATAAATAATAAAAAGGTAACAAATCATTATATATAAATAATGAAAAGTAACTTACAATTATTTATATATAACAAGTTCACTGATTTCATTATATATAAATAACGAATTGACTTCAAACTCATTATTTATAAATAACTGCTTTTACATTTCATTATATATAGATAATAGCTGTCGCAAAACCATAATGCTTGGACTTCAAACTTATTATATGTAATGCACACGTGTTATCGTGTCAAGGTCATTATATCTAAATAATGGTTTTTACTTCCAATTATATATAGGCCTAAATAACCATTGAAGTCGAGTGCTATTATATCTAAATAATGACATCGTAGGAAGCATGGTTTATTAATAATTCGTTATGCAAATTACGAAGTAATAAATATTCACCAGTGCTCTGAAGTTACAATAAGGTCCTATTCACCTATTGAAAATGGCAAAACAAGGTATACAGCAGATTATTGAATCCAGTGGTGGCGCCAATAATAAAAAAAAGAGATAATAATAATCTGAAATCGTGAGGGCATGGTGAAGGCTGGTTACCATTTGGTGGCACATCGATTGAGTATTTTCATTCATCTGGCCATGTAAGTCAGGGCGTATCTAGATGTCTTGAAATGGGGGGGGGGCTGATGGGGAGCGCGAAGGTGAAGTGGGGGATCGCCAAGGTGAAGTGGGGGGTGTGGCTCGATGATCAGTTAAGGGGCGCTAATTCGCAAAAAAAGGTGATTTTATGTGATTTTTAACTACTTGACATTGATTTGAAACCAGATTTAGTATAATCTTAGGTAAGCATGTGATACCTTCCGACGAATATTGACCCTACCAGCGTCACTACGGCGTCCCCACCGATCGATCTAACGTGACGTTGTTATGTGGGTGTTTTATAGATTATAGAGAATGGTAATATCACCAAAAAAATAGATACAAATGACAGGTAAATGACCAACAAAGACAACTATAGTTCGTTATTAGAAGTAATTTAGTACAACTTTATTCGGAAAATTAATCTCAAAATCGAGTTGCCGTCCCCGGCGTTGTCAGTGACGTAGTATGATTTGTGTGCGATTTTTACCAATTAACCCCCTTAATAAAAAATATTTGAGCAATGTAGTACCTTGCAAATCAACCCAGAAGTTTGTTGATTGTTTATTGGTAGTGGCCTTTCGCTGCCAAAAATAGTTGGCAGTTGCGTCCCCGGTGGTGACATCGTGAGGGCATGGTGAAGGCTGGTTACGATTTGGTGCTACATCGATTGAGTATTTTCATTCATCTGGCCATGTAAGTAAGGGGGCTCTATGATCAGTTGAGGGGCGCTAAAATAAGGTGATTTTAGGTGATGTTTAACTACTTGACCGTGATTTGAAACCAGTGTCAGTATAATAGGTAAGCATGTGGTTAACTTAAGCAAGAATTTAGTCCAATGAAACTGTTCATAATATTGATACCTTCCGACGAAAATTGACCCTACTGACGTCACCACGGCATCCCCACCGATCGTTCTAACGTGACGTTGTTATGTGGGTGTTTTATAGATTATTGAGAATGGTAATATCGCCGAAAAAATATGTAAAATGACAGTTGAAGACAATAATTCGTCATTAGAAGTTATTTAGTATAACTTTATTAGGAAAATAACCCTACTTAAATTACGGTATCACTGTGTGGGGGGCTATACTGCAAAACAAAATCTGAATCGTATATTTGTTCTACAAAAAAAGGCACTTAGGTCTGTTTACAATGTCCATTACATTTATCCTCCTGCTTTGCTATTTGTTTCTTCAATCACGCTTAATATTTTTGAATTGCGTACAACAAAATGTTGCGGTCTTTATCTTTCAATTTAAGTCTAATCAATTGCCTCCAATCTTCAATTCATACTTTCAGAATTTTAAATGGGGGTACTGATGGGGGAACGAAGGTGAAGTGTGTGTGTGGGGGGGGGGGGTGTCGATGATCAGTTGAGGGGCGCTATTTTTAACTACTTGACCGTGATTTGAAACCAGTGTCAGTATAATCTTAGATAAGCATGTGGTTACCATAATCAAGAATTTAGTCCAATGAAACTGTTTATCATCTTAATACCTTCCGAAGAAATTTGACCCTACCAGCGTCACCACGGCGTCCCCACTGATCGATCTAACGTGACGTTGTTATGTGGGTGTTTATAGATTATTGAGAATAGTAATATCAAAAAAAAAAATAGATAAAATGACAGTTGAATGACCAACAAAGGCAATTGAAGACAATAGTTCGTCATTAGAAGTTATTTAGTATAACTTTATTTGGAATATTAATCTCAAGATCGAGTTGCCGTCCCCGGAGTTGTCAGTGACGTCGTTTATCTTCTTGATACCTTCCGACGAAAATATCACAGAAAAAATAGATAAAACGACAGTTGAATGACCAACAAAGACAACTGAAGACAATAGACAATTAACACTAAAGTAAAAAATAGTTGAGCCATGTAGTACCTTGGAAATCAACCCAGAAACCCGGTAGTTTGTTGATTGTTTATTGGTAGCGTCCTTTCGCTGCCAAGTTTTTTGGCCCGTTGACATCCCCTTTTCAAATGTTAAAAAATAACCACCAACATAAATTTTAAGTATTAAGGTGCCATTCTCCAACTTTATCTCATGCAGCCACAAACATGACGGGTGGATATAGTAATTTTCATAGTTTTTATGTATGACATTGCCATTTTCCGGCATCAAAATTCCCCAATTTTTAACATTTTCACACCTCCATGATGGGGATAGGCCTTTGTGGATATAGTAATTTTTGTTGTTTTTCCTGCATCTAAAAGTCTCTAATTCTGAAAATTGTTTTACCTCAGCCTCAACCATGGTAGGCTGAGATAAATGGATTAAAATTTTCATAAATTTTAAGTATCCGAGTGTTGTTTTGGGGCATCTATAAAGTCTCAAATTCTTGCAATTGACTCATCTGCGCCCCAAAACCATGTTGGGGCTCAGGTGGATATCGTAAATTTTGTACAATTCAAGTGATTTTTTGTGCATCTAACGAGTCTCAACTTCTCAAAATGTTCTCACCCGAGCCCCAACCATAGTGGGGCTCAGTTGAATATGGTAGTTTTTAGAATAGTAAGTACTTAAATTTCATTTTCGGGTACCTAATTAATTAATTAATTAATTGGGGGTTTTTTTTTTTACTCAATTTGTCAAAAAAATTATTATTTAATAAGTAGGCCTAATGTAAGTTCCATTTTGGGCATCCGATGGTATAAAATACCGACATTTTTGTGTCACCGCCAACCACGATGGTACTGAAGTGATGTGGACCACTTTCCTGAAAACAATAGTTAAGACAAATATATTTCCATTCGTTTTGTTGTTCATGTAAATGTCTGATAGGTTATTACTTTAAAACAATGCTAAAAACACAGTGTCAATACGAATACAGTGATACCACAAATACGTGCGTGACGATATTTTATTGCTTTAGAAATATGATTTAAAAATGTATATTGAATCACGCACTGAGTATTCAATATATTTTCATGACAGGTTGGGCAAAATACACATAGGCCCCCTAATTGATTCTCCTGACGCAAATCCAGGTATTGTCTATCGTCACGAAAATAACATTTACAATTCAATAATAGAACAGTCATTGACCTACTTGCAGTGAATTGAATCTAAAATGTATTCATGATGTTATGATGATCTGAAGTGTTTAAAAATGTACACAATAATAGTTTAACCAACATTAATACCACAAACACAAATGTGCGTGACGATTTTATTGCTTTAGAAATGTGATTTCAAAAAGTAGTGCATCGTATACGTAAGGGCTTGTTTTGCTGTTATTTTACTTGCAGCGTTTGGGAAATAGGTAATAGGTAAATTGTAATAAATATAATAAATAATATATAGCATATAAAACCTATTATTATTGAAGGGTCCTTTTAAAGTTTAAATAGGATTTTTTTAAAGTTATATTTGTTGAGCATTAGACCTATTGAAGTGCTGTGCACTGACTGCACTGTCCATACCTACGCCACTCGACCTAAGTATTATTAGTGGTTACATAACGTTTGCTATGCACTGTATCATGCGCTATAGAAGTGGAAGACCATAATGTATTGGAAATATACCTCTCTCTCTCTCTCTGGTAGGCCCTACAGTACAATCAGTGTAAAAGTGTAAGGTATAGGATAGTGTGGATTTAAACATTTTCCTAATGGTAATGTTCAAAATAAGTGTCAAGGAAAGTAAGTAGGATTGTTGGAAAAAATAGTCAACATTTTATTTTGAATTCTCACCCTGACATTCGCCTGGGCGCAGTGGGCGAAGTTCTGGATCCGCGTCTAGTTAGCATGAATTTTGTAAGCCAGGACCGATAGTATTTTGTTACGTTTCTTCACAGAGTGGCCCCTGGATCCGCCACTGTAATGTGCTAATAATTAATATAGCTTTTAACGATGCGAAGTCCCCCAATTTGGTGATTAAATCGACAATGCCCTGAGAAAACTTCAAGCAACAAATTGAAATGCTTAAAAAAGAAACTGCATGTTTTACTAGAGTGCACGAAAAGCACACACACAAGACAACCGACCATTATTTTTTGTTCACGGTAAACAAAGGGGGGTGACTAGCCACCCTATTCTTCACCATCCCCCCATCCCAGATCCGCCACTGATTGGGGTTTTGTATTTAAAAAAAGCAAACTATATTTGTAATTAAATTATATAATTTTGTAATTGTATTTGTAGATTTATGATTTAGGCCTATATTTGTAAATGGGAGCAACTTTAATTGTGTAATTGTTAATCACCATAGGAATTTAAATTATTTTTACGTATGTAGGTGTGTCAGAAGGTGCACAAATGAATGGTGTAGTAGTGAGACAGGGCGGTTTTGCCACTATTTTAAAAATGTAAATGCATATTAATGTTATGTGCTACTCATTTATCTATTCTGGAACTGTTGTGTGCCCCCTCCCCCTTTGAAAAATTTTGGATCCGCCCCTGTGACAAGTATCAATAGTACAGTAATAATGACATCATACCAATTTTCTTCTAAAGTTCAAAACCCACTGTTTTTTAAACTTGTGGAAAGGATAACATTGACTAAGTTAGTATAATTAAAGATAATCATTATTTTTATGAATGTGGGTATGTTAGTTTGTTTATTTATTTATTTACTCTAAGATAGAGATGGCAGGCTATAAAGGAAATTCCTATTCCCAATAGGATTCAATTACCATATACATTCAGAACAAATAGAACGTTATTATTTGTTAACCTAAAAATCCATTAAATACGACTTGCTATACATAAGGCTATAGGCGACTTCCCCGTCTTCCCCGGAACCGACTGGGGCTTTCCCCTGCTTCCCAGGCAAAGCTTGAGCAAATTATTAGCTCAAAAATAGAAATAATAGAAATTTTTCGTATATACTCGCACAGGTTGTTGTTCGCACAAGTGGATCTTCTTCCGCTCGAACGTAGCATCCGCTCGAAAAAAAATCCGCTGGAATTCGCTCGAATTGGCCTTAGCTCGAAGTGGCATCCGCTCGAATTGACTGGTTCCCAGGCTGGGACATGAAAGGTTGTTGTTTGTTGTTATTTCGCAATTCGCAACGTCACCAACGAGCCTAATACATTCAATCCCGTAACATGATTGGTCAATTTTTTTCTAATTAGCATAATGAATTTTTCCAACATTTTTGTCTATTTAAAAAAAGTGTGTAAGTTATGGAGATGGTAACAATCATAAATGGATTACAAATTTAATTATACATTTTTAGACAAAAAATAAACCCTCTTGGCCCACGGCCCATATTTTTTGACACCATGACCATGCGTAATATTAACCTGCAGTGTATATATACGAAGAATTTTTTCTAGTATTATCAGAGTTGACTAACTGGTACTTGGTGTGGTACTAGGTTTATCGCATTTATGGCTTAGGGGTCGTGGTTTACCTCCCTCCTTTTAGTCATGCTGGATCAGGAGTAGTAAACTCGGCGATCGTGGGTTCGATTCCCACACGGGGCAAGTTTTTTTAATTTTTTTTTTTCGAAGGCAGTTAAGTTGATGGTGGATAATGATAGCAAATCTGGAGGTTGCGTGTTCGATTCCCACACGAGCCAGTTTTTATTTTTTTTTATTTTATTTTTTTAATTTAATTTTATTTTTTTTTTGCGGGCGTAATTCCTAGACAGGATTGTTCATTCAATTCATATTGAAAAATTAGTGTTTTGATGGTGATTTTTTTTCATTCAATGGGAATTCATATATTTTATATGAGAAGAAGCTATGAATATTCAGCTTTCCGTTTACTGGATCCGCCACTGATTACAGCTCTGGAGTTGGAACATGACGGAAGTCCGTTTTGGTATAACAAATACACCTCCTCATATTGTTTGGAAAAAAATCCCTCTCTGCGCCCTCTATAATGATCATGCAAGCGTGTACATGAGGTAGGCCTACAGAATTACAATTTCAAAATATTCCTCATTATTTCACCAAAATGAATATTTCTATTTAAATTCAACAATCTAAGGTGTTAGTTCTACAGGTGTCAAAAATGCTTTGAAGGCCACTATAGCCTATAAGTTAGTATTAGTAGAGGTCCCTACTAGAGGACCTAGCCTGGCCTTAGCCTTAGCTAGGCCTATTATATAGGCCTAGGCCTACCTATATAGGCCGTAGCTAGCTAGCTAGGCCCGATATAAAATGAATCGCATCGCGGTGATCAGGTTGTTCTAGTGAATGTCTGATAGGTTATTAATTTTAAAGAAAGCTAAAAACACACAGTGTCAATGCAAATATAGACACATGTACGAATGAGCTGAGCGGCTCAGAATTAGTAGTGGTTACATAACGTTTGTCTTGCACTGTATATGCGCTATAGAAATGGAATTAAAGACCATAATGTAAATGGCAATGTACCTCTCTCTGGTAGGGCCAGCAGTACAATCAGTGTAAATGTGAAAGATATAGGCTAGTGATTTAAACATGTCCTAATGGTAATGAAAGTATAATTTTTGGAAAAATGGTTAACATTTTATTTTTATTTCTCACCCTTACCTTCGCAGTATCCGATCATTCCTAGGCCTTTATTATTGTGAAGTTCATGATATTGTTTATAATTTCACATAATTAAGTTGAGCGTCCTCAGTTTTTAAATTGTAGTATTTACCGCTGTTCCATGTTTGACTTGGCTACGTTGACCAAATAAAGACACGTAATATTGTTGTTTTAGTCTTTTGATTGATACTGATGTTAATTTGTATTGTAATGATAATGACTCATTATTATATTTTACTTGTCTGGATAGGAAATTTTGGGCAGTAATCATCAGAAGGCTTCAGGTGCCGAGCATATCATGACACTAATTTTACCACCAACAATAACAACCTCAATATATCACAATTCATATGTTATCTCATTTTAGACCAATCCCGAATTGTTCTTGTAACAAGCAGTCCCATCTTGATTATGTTTGTGGTGGCTCAACACAATTCAATCTTGAAAATACTACACACGTAACAAAGCCCACATTAAGCTGATCATACAGGTACAAGGTAAGAATTTCATATGATTTTAAATAATAAAATACACATTTGCTTCTGAATAAGGAACACTCATGCTACTATGGGAAACAGTAGGCCTGGTTTAGATGCCAGTCATTTCATGTTTGACTTACTGTATAGAAAGAATAATCATGATTTATTTTACTAGATTCATTTTCTTACAGTATTTGTAAATATTTTTTATACAGTATGTACTCTAATACCTAATATTCTCGTCATTTCCATCGTCATCAATGTTATAATCTTTTAAAATCATTATTTACTTGTTATATAATTATTGCATGCATAAGACCATGACTGAGTACCATTAGCTAGCATCTATATTATCTCTACAGATGTCTTCTCTATCCATAACAATGATTAAATTAAAAAAGATCTTGAGTACACCCTCTGCCTCAAAGTCACTTAAATGCATGCACACCTATTTTCTACAGTGTGTTGAGAAATCAAACTCATGGAAAGATGAAACGTGGACAAAAACCTGATCGATCAAAAGAAAATGTAAAAAAGGCTTGCGTTGAAGACAAAGATCAGTCATCTACTTCAACCATCAAAACTGAGAATGTAAAAGCACCTACATGTAAATGCTCTTGCTGTGACAACCAACCAGCATACTACTGCTCGACATGTCAGCTGTATCTCTGTGGAGCTCAGTGTATCAAACAACACAAGATAGTACCAGCCACTAGGGATCATCAACTTTACACTCTAGACATAAAGGAACAGGATGGTAGCTCAGACAAAATACCAAAATGTCTAGCTCACTGCAATGCTCCAATAGAATTTTACTGCTCCACCTGCAAAAAATCAGCATGTAAACAATGTGAGTACATTCTTGACTGTTATCAACAACAGCATAATGTGATTTTAATGTCTACTGCTATAGATGAGTTTAACAAAGATGCTACTGAAGTTGTCAAGCTAGCTCGTACTATTGAAAATGAATTAACAGAAAAACTAAAACTTATAGCAAAAGATAGATCATTTTTTGATTCACAACTGAATTTATGCAGAACAGCCATTGAAAATCAGGAAAAGAAACTTATCAAAAAAGTTCATGAGAAAAGCAGAGAATTAAAGTCAAATTTTGAAGAGATACACAAAAACAATAAAGAATACATTGCTAGTAAAGTTGAAAGTATGAAAGCAGAGCTGACTCAAGTTAATCATCTGGTGGCATCAATCAGTACATTGATGAACAGACCAGAAGAAAGAGAAACTCTTACATCCCATACAACAATTATTAACACTTTAAGGGATGAAGTCCTAGGGACTACTTTTGGACAGTCATTTCATTCCATAAGTTTTCATCCATCTACACACTTGGATGAATTGATGAGTGCAGAGGGCATTGGTGAAATCACAACTCTGGATAGTATGAAGTTCAAGGTTTCTGAAGATTATGAAGCAATTACTGTTGCAAAAGGAGAATCATTTGTTGTAGAAGTGATAAGTCCAGCAGAGATTGATGCATGCCAGTTAGCTGCAACTCTAATAAACTCATCAGGTAAAGAATCTGTAACCGAGATAGAATATCAGGAAAGTGGAGAGTACAAAATAAGAGGTAGATGCAATGTCGAAGGTGATTGGCAAATGATGATAACTGCTGGAGCTGCACACATCAAAGGATCTCCTGTGAACATAAAGGTGGAAACACAGGGACTTGTTCATACCATTGATAACATATCAGATTACAAAAAACATAATAAAACAGAGAAAGTAATAGATGTAGTGTTAGATAGAGATGGATGTATATTAGTATCAAGCTTTAGTAGAGATATATTGAAGTTCAACCTATCAGGTTCATTGATTGCTAAGCAAAGTCTGCAGTATTGTTCACGTGATGCTGTGGTGGCTGCAATGCATCAGCTGGCTGATGGTCACATGCTTTACAGTGCATATTATCCTTACAGCCGTAAGAGATTAGTATTAATGTATGATGATACTGGTAAACATAAACAAAGCTTTCATGAAAAGTTGCTATATCCATTTGGTTTGGCAGTAAACACTAAATCTAGAGTCATGTATGTAGCAGATTGTGAAGCTCACTGTGTGTTTAAATTTAATGTTGAAGATGGTAACTTGCTGGGTAGGATAGGAGTAGGTCAACTGAAGGAACCACAAGATGTCACCTTAACTAAGGAAGGTCATGTAATTGTTGCTGACTATGGAAATAACAGAATACAAATGTTTGATGCATATGGTAAGTTCATGAGAGTTTGTATAATAGGCTGTGGTGAGGAAGACGGCAAGGTTATGGGTCCTCATAGTGTTACCATGGATATGGATGAAAACTTAATAGTATCAAGTAATCATAAACTACAACTATTTGATAAGAACGGTGTCTTCATTAAAAGAATAGATCATAAAGATGATGGATTATATATCCCATTAGGATGCGCTGTAACCTCCGATAGGCCAAGAAGAGTAGCAGTAGCAAACCATGGAAAAAACAATGTTAAAATATTCAAATATTAAACGGCATAAAAACACAGGGCTCCACTCTTTTTAATAGTAAATGTTCAATCAACCTTATCTTATAGCAATTATTAATTCACATTATTGCTTATCTTTATACTATGAGTTTTTGCCAGGTATTGGTATTGCTACATTGTCAAATTTAAAAAGAGCTCGCCTCTGGTATAAACCTACCATTCTTACTCCCAATTTTACATACCAGCTTTTTCTCAGGAAAAACAAAGTCTGAATAGTGTGGCCTTGAATTGAATAGGCATGCAGTGCTGAACAATTGCCATTAAATTAAAAACAGGATTTCTCAAGTAATGCCCACTATCAAAATCATAGAGTACAAGAGTGAACTATGGTAATAATAATAATAATAATAATAATAATAATAATAATAATAATAATAATAATAATAATAATAATTATAATAATAATGTTATTTTAAAAACATACTATATTCTATTTTCAAATCTTGTAAGGTTAACATTAAATATTAAAAAATCATACAAGAGTGAACTATGGTAGTAATAATAATAATAATAATAATAATAATGTTATTTTAAAAATATATACTCTACAGTATTTTCAAATCTTGTATTAATTTAACATTAAATATTAAAAATGTATTAGGCATTATCAAATCAACAAAACAAATTGTTTATTACAAAACAAATTTATGCAGGCCCATAATCAAAAGATCTCTTTGTTTTTTTGAACTCCCTCTTCCAACACTAGAAATCCGTCTAATAACCTGAAATTTGGTAGCAAAATCTGTCCCTGTACTCTGTCAATATGGGACAGTAGGTTGCATATAGTGTAAATGCCTTTTATCTAAGTGGAAGTATCATACACACATGTAAAACTCATTTATGCACTTTATAATTTTATTGAACTTCTTGCGATTATGTATTTGTAAATATTTGAACGTGTGTACTTTCCAATGGTTGTCCCAAATGGCCTCCTATACCGAATTAATTATTAAATGGTTTATATTTTGTCTTCCTGATTAATTGTTATAAATTGTGTAAACACATTTCTTGTAATTTTCTTTTTCATTCATTTAATAAACACACGTACATACACATTTAAATGATGCAGATGTACACCAAAATATGCATGAATCATACATTCATGTACCTACCATGCGCATACTTCACTTTTTCTTGTTTTTTCCCCAATATTTTTTTAAAAAATATTACAATAAAAATTCTGCCTGAATATTACGAACTAAAATAAAAGAATTCGATCCAACTCGGCCACAAGTCAACTTGGCCACAGTCAACTCGGCCACAAGTCAACTCGGTCATAAGTCAACTCGGCCACAAAAAGTTTGGCTACAGCCAACTCGGCCACAAGTCAACTGGGCCACAAGTCAACTCGGCCACAAGTCATTTACAGGTACCGTACTTCACTTTGAAGGATGATTTCTTCAAGTATAAAATACTAATTTTTTAGGTACCGTATTACTACTAATTGTTATTATTATTGATGTTATTTTTGTTGTCATTGTTGTTATTATTGTTGTTTTTATTACCGTTAGTTTTAATATTAATTATTAGTCTTAGCAACATTATGTATTGTTCAAATTTTTGCTGATATTATTATTATTGTTACCATATAATTAATAAATAATTGGAATAAATAATTTAAAAAATGAAGGATATCGTATACTTCAAAATTGTTGCTATAATTGTTTATTAAATGATTTATGTTTTAAATTAAGCCTCTTAGGATTAATTTTCAATTGGGAATTGAATTAAATACGTTGAAGATAATTATAACATAATTATTATAATAATAATTATACCTTCTGGTATAAAGGCCTCGCAAAAGGTCGAAGTCCAGATCCTTTGGTTCTTCCGGCTGCAGTCGTTGCCGTGCTCGATTCGCCATCCGCGCCAAGTTTACAGGTTTTGGGAGCGTCGGACCTTCGTCTACGGTGCTGAGTAAAGCCGCGTTGACCAATTCCGGAGCTGGTCGAAACACATTCTCCGTAGCTGCGCTTTTAATGTTGGTTATCAAGTTGTTGACTGTAGCAGTCCCAGGTTGCGCTTCATGTTGGTGGTTGCTGGGTCCTCGACGAAAGTCCCCACCCTTTTGGACAACAGTCGCGGGACACTTCATCACTGCATTCTGAACACAACATCTGTGAAAACATTGACACATAACTGTCAGTTGGCAATTTAAATATAGTTATGTGGATAGGTCTAGGCAAATAACATGTTTTCTTAAATTTCTGAAAATTGGAGATGCATGGGTAAATCAACTTACCGCCAATATGTTACGCCAGTCCTCTTTAGCTTCAGAACATAAGAGTATCCGTTAGAGTCTACAAGTTTAGATCGCTGTCTTTGTGTCGACCCCTCGACAATCTTGTATTCGACGACTCTGTCCACCACATCTCCGTTGTCCTCTCCAACATCGGCGTAATCGAGAATTTCGTTTCCATTCTCGAAACTTGCATCTACACAGACGTCCGCCGATGTTTCGGTACGATTAGGGCTACCATTAAGTTCGTCTACCGCATTTAGCAGGTCAGTCAATCATCCAGTGTTGTTGGTCGATGCATGGTCTTGATCGATATGTCCAAGCGAGGGATGAGTATTCCCGTCCATTTGGTGGTCTTCCGGCGGGGCTTCTTGAATTGCGTGGCTATTCTCCGAACTTGTATCTACGTCACCATGTTCATATATCGCAATTAGTAGGTCAGTCAGTCCAGTGTTGTTTTTTCGATGCATGGTCTCGATCGATATGTCCAAGCAAGGGATGAGTATTCCCGTCCATTTGGTGGTCTTCCGGTGAGGCTTCTTGAATTGCGTGGCTAACTTTTATCTGCGTCACCATGTTCATATATCGCAATTAGTAGGTCAGTCAGTCCAGTGTTGTTGGTCGATGCATTGCCTTGACAGATGTGTTCAAATGAGCGATGAGTACTCTCGGCCAATGGGATGTCTTCACGCAATTGACGGTCGAATGTACACTCGGGGCACCTCCACTCCAGTACTGGTCCGTCATTGTCCATCATTTGGGTGTACTGCTCCAAGGTTATACCTAAAGTAAATTACAAATAATGCATTAAAAAATTTAGTTGTGATAATGCATAGCCCCGTAATACAGTAAGTGGTTGGAACACATAAATATAATTAAGTGCGTCTTTTACAACTTACCTTCTTAAAAAGCAATAAGTGTTTAAAAAACATAAATATTAATAAATGTGTCTTTAAGAGGTTACCCTCTTAACAAGTTTACAAATTAAAGTGACGATAAAGCACATTCCCGTACAATAAGTATTTGAAAATCATAGGCCTATACTGTATATAATTAAGTACGTCTTTATAACTTAAATAAAAGTGAAACGTTTAATAAAATTACCCTCTTAACAAGTTTAAAAATTAAAGTGGCGATAGTGCACATCCAAGTACAATAAGTATTTGAACAACATAAATATAATTAAGTGCGTCTTTTAGAACTTACCCTCTAAACAAGATCTGTGGTACCAGGAAATGCAGTCATCGCATTGTATCGCATGCTGATGTGCTGCGACATCTGTCTTACACTTCTTGCAGGGAAACTTCGCTACAGGCTGCGGTCTTACGCCGCCGTTTCTCGTCTTCATTACAGCAGATAAACTCGGACTGATGGTACTTTATGTTCGCTCGCTGAATTATTAAAATAAACTAAAAAACTTTTTTGAAAGCTGAGCTGTTAGCAGATACACTTGGATTGATGATACTTGATGTTCTCTCACTGAATTATCGAAATAAACTGATACAGGTTTTGGAAAAGCTGGGGTTTTTATGCCTTAGACCTATGTCGAAAACTGTTTATTGGTATGTGCTTTCATGTTCCCCAGTGTCGATAGTCACTCATGGTGAGACTAATCCAGATTAACGCCTTGGTGAAGCCATACACTCACGCGCACGCGCCGTTTCGCCAATAAACAATTCAATTCAATTTTCGAATTTAAAAGGAAAACAATAGACAATAATTTAACAATAATAATAATAATAATAATAATAATAATAATAATAATAATAATAATAATAATAATAATAATAATAATAATAATAATAATAATAATAATAATAACAATGATGATAATGATAATGGTATATTTATAATATATATGCACATATGCAAGTCTATCTACCTTATTCGTTTTCTATAGGCGTATACACAATATTTTTTATTATATATTCAAAATACAGTCTAGAAAGAATAGTTGAGATGTGTATAAGAGACAGCAATGACACGGTGCATGCGTAACAGATCTTTTTTAACGATGATCCTTTAAGATTGAAACATGATAGAAACCAACCGGCAGAAGGTGTCGCGTCATCTGGCGCTCACAGAAAGCAGAGTTAAGATTTGTTGTACAGTGGTTGTCGCCGGCTTTATACACATTTTGTATGTATGATTATTTTGTTACGGTTAACTTGGTTCTGTCTGCTCTAACTTTATGCCTGATATTATGGCCTTGAAAAAAGATTTGGTAAAACAATTCTATGTTTGACTGTTTGACTCATCATACTGTTTAGGCAAAATCGTAATTGTTATGAAGGTGGGGTATTGATTGCTATACCATCAGCTTCACGGTAACACAAGAATCATGAATGTCCACGTTGATAAAAATCTAAGTTTGTGTCCTGAAC